CCCCAAAACCCCAAAACCCCAAAACCCCTTAAATAATATAAGCTGAAATTAGGGAAAAAAATTGAATTAGCTTTGAATGTTAAACAAACAAATATACTTAATCATAGAAAAGAGACTTAGTTTTTTTAGTTTATCCATATATTCATTACTACTAATTGATGTTCTAAGCCTACCCACTTTTAATTCTGATCATCTTAGAGTTGTTTATTACAAATTTTATTAAACCTTATATTCTTTATGATTCGTTCCATCCTAAATAGCCAAGTTACACTGCTATGAAAAGACTGTAAATAAACTTTAAGAATCCCAAAAACTTATAAAAAGCAAGCTTGAGCTTTTGTAATCTTGTCAATTAATTGGCATCTATCTTTGATTGTCTAAGCTTTGCCTTGGTATGGTTGAATATTATCTTAAGGTAGTATTTGAGGAAGTTTTTGAAGTACTGGAATATAAGAATTAGTCTCTTGCCAAATAAGTATAAATACAGCAAGTAAATTCCAAGCTTCAATATACGTCGCTTGTCTGAGATTAAATACTAGAAGTTGTTCTTGATTAGCTATTTAAATCCTATATATTCCTCTAGCATGTTAAATGGAGATTTACACAGCTCACATATTCTAATATTCTGCTATGTAATCCATTTGACTAAGCATTATTCGTGCACAAAGGACATGCTTCCTTTGCATTGGCATGGATTATTCAGAATGTCCTCTTAATTGTTGGTCAAAAAACATATTCTGCACTCTTTTAAGTTCATACTAGAGAGTTTTCTTATTGGCACATGATTATTTTAAGATTAAGTGCTTTATCTTTAGAGAGATTAGTAATTGCTCTAATCGGCATTATTACTTTGAGCTTCGTTATTATTCTCAAGTTAGTCACTTGCGAACGAGTCTTCCATTAAATTAGTAATTGAAATTAAGATTATTAATACTGATAGAGATAATTTAAATATTTAAGGAGAAAATAAACTCTATATATTTGAATGAATAGAAGATATGATATGAAAGTGAGGGTAATAGGTTAAAGCGTTATTAGTTACAAATGTAAATTAATCATCAGAATATTTATAATAAAGCAGCTATTACTTCTTATGATAGTAAGATTTTGATACTCTTAAATACCAAAAAGTGTGTGTGTCCTTTCAAAGACTTTTAAAATCACTGTTGTTGGTATTATCCTAAGTACATTTTTCATTGCATAGTTTGTTTCCCATTCTGGAACTTACTACTCTTTTGAATGATATCTTTTTCCCATCTCTTTAGGAGATTACTTTTCACGTTATCAAAGAAGGAACACATAGATATGTTGGATGTGGAGCCATCTTCTTGACTCTCTGAGGAATGATTCTTGAGCAGACAGAATTCTTTAATGATGATATGAGCATAGTACTCTAGAGGCCTTATTACTTGCTCTTACCAAGAACCGCTGTTTTTCATTAGCTATATACTGAACCCGATGAATCCTTTCACTAGCTCACTTGCATTCCATTATTAATTTTGGGGTAAGTTCTCTCTTTACTCCTCTATAATATACAAATACTTGAACCAATTGCTCATAACTTCATTGTAGAAATTATGACTTGGCTTAATGAATCTCAAGTTGACATTATAAGTTTAATCAAGATCAGCCTCGTTAATGAGCAAAGCTTTCTCGTTTTGAGAAATCTTTTCCAGGGCATCATTAGTCAACTCGATAACGTTGGTTACAAATGTAGCAGATACAGATTCCTGAATCATGTTTTTGGATTTTACTTTCTAACTGATAAGATCAACAGTAGCACTCGCTTTTCTCAACATTTTCTCATTAAGCTTCATAACTTTCCTATCGTTCTTTCCCTTAGTTGAAGATTTACTGGCACTATCAAAGTGTTCGAATGGATCGAGTTCACTGTCAAAGTTGTGCCTCTCAAGCTACCTGAATCTTCTCTTCTTTAATGTTCTTTAACTCTTAGGAGATTCAAGTTTTAGTCTGGTGCTAATAGCATCATCAACACTATTGATGTCTAGCTTCTTCATTTTTCTCTTAATCCTTGAGATATCATTGGATTCCTCAGACATCGAATCATCGAATGTAGTTTTCGTTGTACCACCTGCAGAAGATCTTTGCTGATTTTTTAGTGTTGTCTAATTTCCAGAGCTTTAATTAGAATCTTTTCTTGAGCTTTCCTTTTTTTCTTCAGGGAAATAGTATTCTACTACCTTCTCAGTAGCTATTAAGAGTGGCTTGATAACTCTGTCCTTGATAATAGAAAAACCGGGAAAATTGTTCCCGAAAATGGAAGACTAGGTGCTGGATTGACCCTCACCGTTGGCTTTTTTGTTTTTATCATGCAACGATTGCCTCTATTGCTGAAGAAGCTACTCCCTTTAGTTAAGGGCTTCTCTTCTTTACTGTTCGTCATATTGAGCTAGGGCCTTTTCTGTAAGCTAAATTTAGTATTTCTAGTCACTTTCGATTTTTTTGAGTATGTTCTCATACTCCTTCAAAGATACGAAGTAAAAAGTATGGATCAAAGATTTGAACAAATTCTTATCTCTGAGTTTGTAATTTCGGCTAATTAGATGTTACGATAAATCTTGATAATATTTCTCAAAAGTCTATTATGAAATTATTAAGGAGATATAAAAAGTTACCTATTCTGAATGCTACGTCATTTTAAATGCAGAAGCATTAGCGGGAGAATAATAGTTTATCAGATAGAAGTTAAATATTCTAGTGAAAAAATGATCTTCCTTTACTTTCTTTACTGAAGTAGCAGGAAACTCTATGGCTTCATTGAAATATTTTAGCCATGTGGCACCTACAGAGAAGATTAGAATTTGAATTGGTTTTACCAAGGTTTTTTTTCATATTGATTTTGAAGATCTCAATATTTTCGTACTCATTAAACCATTCGTTAATGTTTAAATCAAAGTTACTACAGTAGCAAATGGTTTTACTCTCGATTACCTTCAAATCGGCACCTCCATTGTCCTTCTTTTCATATGGCAAGGAGTTTACACTATCGGCACTCTCCTGATTCAATTCTGAATTCTAACTCTAGTGATTGCTACTGTCGAGTTATTGTTGAGAGTTATGATTTGAGGATTGATCCATTTCCATTCTGTCCTGGCTTTGATAATTTGACTGTTTATGATTCTCCTCCAAATATGATTTGGTTTCTTCGTTCATATTAGAATCGGATTGTTGTAAATTTTGAGAATTCTGTTCACTTTAAGTACTCATATTTTATTAATGATAGTTATTAGAGTGTGAATTCATTAGATATAACTTAGAATAATGTACGATGACGTATTATTTTATAAATTCATTAATGATTTCTTGATAAATTTAAGTAAATAATTTCGAATAACTCACAAAATTTTATTAGCAAGAAAATGGGCCTTTGTTAATAAAATTAATAATTCTTTTTCAAACTTAAATTTCAAAGCTTTGAATTATAAAGAAAATTATGAAACGTAAAAACTAGACTCCTTTACAAAATAGCTCTAATTATGCTCATAGCTTTTTATAATAAGGAGCTAATACCGGATCAACAAGTAGAATAAATGCTAATAGTGATGTGATATTACAACAAATATAACAAAGGAAGCTTGATACATAGAAAACCTCTCTGAATTCAGCAGCATTACAGGATCATTTGATGAAGAATTTTAATCTGAAAATGATCGATCCCTTTTAAAAGAAGACCACAGCATAAAATAAATTACCACCCAGGTAATCTAACTTATCTAATAATGGACTGCAAATAATGTCAGGAGGTAGTTCAGTAGGTGGAACTTCTGCTGGAGGAAGTGTCATTAATATGAATAGTTTTTCTAGATAAAATAGCAGCAATCAATAGCCTCGAGAAAATTCATAATCAAGGTAGAGCAAACCTTAAATGGGCGTTGAAAAGGATTAAATTACTAAGATGTTTGAAGAATAGAATCAGAACAATGAAAATGCTTTCTTAGATATTGAAAATAAGAGAATTTAGTACATAAAGAAACTATCATTAGCCCAGAGATTAGGTTTGGTTGAAAAGCCACCTCTTCCATTATCTTAAGTTGAGTGGAAAAATATTGAAAAAGTTTCATTGCAAAGATTCAATGAGAAGGAACCCTGTCCAATCTGCTATGAGGAACTTAGCTATCAAGACTAGAATATATTAAGTTGTTCTCACGTATTTCACAAGAAATGTTTGGAAAGTTTTGAGAAATTTATGAAGATTAAAGGTCATGAAAAGGCTTGCCCTATTTGCAGAAAGAAGGATTATGACAAAAAAACCTATGTTGAAGGGTAAAAGAGATATTTAACTAAATGTATTGTGAGAATTCAATGTCATGGCAGAGGATTTTTAGCGAGGAATACTTTCTTTGACAATCTTAAGGCAAGAGCATATCAACCTATAACGTAGACCTTAAGAAAGAAATTTATTGGCTATAAATTAAGTAGAATAGGAAAGAAATAGAGAGATCAAATGGACAAAGAGAGATTAGCAGTAATCGAAATGGTTTAAAAGGTTGATAAGAGCATCAAGGATACAGAATAGCTCTTAGAAAGTTTCATTCCTAATATGGCGAGATACTTTTAGCAAAAAAGGGAAAAAGAATTGTAATCAAGAGGTGGACGAAAATTAGAAGAGTAAAAACTAAATAAATTCTGGCAATAAGCATTAGCCAAGGCTACATCCAGAGGAGACAAAGATTGCCCTATATGCTACAATCCATATAAAACTGCTAGCGAGGTCTATTTGCTAAATTGCACTCATATGTATCACAAATGCTGTTTGGAGTCATTCGAAAATTTCGATATCGCCTAGAATTCATGTTGTCCAATGTGTAGATAACCTAATTATGAAAAGATAAGTGTTAAGTCGTGATTTTATGATTAATCTTAAAAAGTTAAATTGGTATAAACTATTAAAATTTAGTGCTATACTAAGAACGCTAATATTAAATGCATTTAAGACAAAATATCGCATATTTTTCAAACATTGTTAATTCTCTCCCTGAGACATGAGAAGAGAAAAATCCCGCATAAAAACCATAAGGATAATGAATAATGTTAAAATCCACATTATCGCAGTAAGTATATGTTCTCCTAGCTTTAAATCTCATCTTTAAATCTCATTTTCTGATATAATTTAGTTGCTCTTGGATAAATAATTATAATCTCTGATGCTGAATGCAGATCATATAGTTAAATTCAATGTTCAAAATAACACCTAAATCCCCATAAATCTGCTTTTCTTGAGTTAAAAATTCATTAATTTAGAGTGCTTGAAGCAAAATAATCTTAATGGATTCATTTATGGCTCAGGTTTTCTTAGTATGGAGGATAATGTGTAAATGTTGATAAGATCCATCATCTATTTTTCCATGTACCCAAAGTATGGTATTTCAACACTACAACACTGCTTATGCCTTTTAATAAATTCAACTTTTCATTTCCCATTCTTATCTTGGTTAGACAATATGTCAATGGCAGATGAAATAATCCGTACAGTTCAAGTCGGCTTTTTATAAAGTTTTAGTATAGTCTAGACATTCATGTGATATTAAGAATTTAAAGTAGAACTTTAATAAGATTGATTAAATTATTAATTATTAGACTTTAGAGATCTTATAGTGGCTGATATGACATAAGTAGCTAACATTGCCGACATGGCCTAATGGATAAGGCGCTTCCCTCCTAAGGAAGAGATTGGGGGTTCGAGTCCCCCTGTTGGTGGCACTTTTTTGCTACTGCCATTACATTATCTTCTTTATTTCTAATTCTTTTAATCTATTAATCTATCTATATTTTCTACTCATGGGGTTTTGGGGTTTTGGGGTTTTGGGG